ATAATAAAACATTTACAAATGTTAAAATTGAAACAAACATAAATAACTTACCTTCCCGAAGAAGTTGTGTATGTTGATTTAGCTTGCTTTAATTATATGTTTGATGTGACTGTTTGTAGTCATTGATGGTATATTATCAAATATAAATTTAGATCTATAGCCTTTGTATTTATATATAGTCTTTGTGTTTATAGTGAAATGTGTTTCTTTTTTCTCTTTACAATTGGTCACATTAATTTGTACACATTTAATATTACATAGCTCATACTGCATCCATTATACCTATGATGAAACCGTAAGAGTGTCTTCCTCGAGGTCACTGAGAAAGTCCCCCAAGTCACCAGGAACACATTGTCATCACTGTTATCACCATTACTCGGTTCACCAATAGGCCAGTACTGAACCTGTTCAGTATTAGGATTGAGGTTACAAAGATGCTTCAAGTTACATCATTTCCAAATGACATCATCAAAAGTCATATTCCCAGATAGTATAATAACCTTAATTTACTATATAAAACAAGAAGCCAGTATCAGATAATATAAAGTGGTATTCACCCCTGCCTCTGATTCTTAATTAGTTATAGTTATGCTGTCATTGGTCCTCATATGCATGGAAGACAGACTGTCAAAATAACAAACATCATCAACTGAAATGATATTGCAAAACATATTTTTTGTTGTAACTTGGATAGTCTACCGCTTCATATATATATTATGCCGACAAAGATCTTCATAACTGCTGATTAAGGATAAAGTATATTTAGAAACAACAAGTTAAATTACACATTGATTTAACAGCATCACACACAAAAATTTAATTAAAAGGCATGAAAGCAAGTCAGTTGCAATAACATATATTTATGTTTTTGCATAAAACTGTAGAATTACTGTAAAACACTTAAGTCTTAATTGATGTATAATTTGTCTTCTGATAATGAGAAATGTTCAATAGGTATTGAATTAGTGTCTCAGTCTTGATGACAGTGAATATATTAAATAAAGTCATATATATTAAATTAGCTCCATTGAAGTAAATCATGATCATACTAACAATCACATTCATCTGTAAAAAAAAAAGGTGTATTACAATACACTAAGGAAGAAATTGTTGGTTCAATTATTACATAACAATGTATTGATATCAACCTTCCAAATGCAATAAAGATGGTGAATCATCGAGATAGTTCATTTCAGAACAGTGCTGGAATAATGTAATACAGTCAAACCTCGGTTAAATTTCAAGAAAAGGACACCGCAAAATTCAGTAAACGGTTACTGTTGGCTTATTTCTGGTTATTAACAAACCATTGTTTGGCCTTTAAACAAAGGTTACCGTTTAAGGTTTGACTGTAGTTATACTGTAAACACACTACAAATAATTCTTCAATTAATTTAAGAACAGGTTATTTGTGAATACAATTGAGCAAATATTAAAATATGCAAATTACCACATCACATCCAAAATGTTAGTGACTATTTCAACTTTATTAATGTATGTTTACAGTATTTTTACTCTTCATCGGGAAATAAAACAAATTTTCCTATTGTGCTAGATGTCTCTGAGGGTTCAAGGTCAATTGAGAATAACATAGAACTTTTTTCGTAGTGGGAAGCATGCCAGAAATAAGGCCACCTCCATACCCTAGGTGTGGTGAGGATACCCATCACATGCATAGTTATATCCTATCCAATACCACCATCTTCAAATCATGTGATGGAAGGAAAAGTGTAATTGCAGTGTGAATCCAGTGTGAACTACCTTCAACAATCCACTCTCATAACTGAGGACTTTCCCATCCACTGGCTATCCTGTCCACCACCAGTCCATTTGTGAATGATCTGTTTTCCAATGTACTGTTCAGTGTGTGTGATAGTGTGATGAGGTGTGTGGTATATTTTGATAATTTGACACCGGTTGAGTTTTAGTGTTTCCAGGGTGATTGTTTTCCCTTTGTTGCTGAACGCTAAAAGTTCCTTCTCCTTAGTGTTAATTTGGAACAATTCTCTGCACATAGAAAATTGCTTTTTAATGGCCTGGGTCTTCTCTTTCTTTGTTTTCAAACTGTCTAATGTTGAATTTATTTCTGTCTCGATGTCCCATAATCCTATATTCTGTAAATCTACAATCACAGTTGTTTTCTTTTCTTCTTCCCCTTCCTTGCGTTTCTTTATAATTTCTTGTCGTTCCTTCATGAAGATCATCTATTGTTTATGTTGAAGATCAGTTTTTTGTTGTACTGTTTGTATCATGTATGTCTTCTTGTCATGTTGTGCTTGTTTGATAATACTGTCTGACTTTGTCTCCCCCTTTTCGCTAAACCACTGTGATGTTTCATCGTTGTTGAACATGATGGTGTGTTGTAAGGTTGTGTGTGTTCATGTTAGGTGCTCTGTGGATTGTGCTGTCTGCTTGTGCCATTAGTCTTTCTACTGTGATGTTGTTGGCCGGATATGACAATTCTGGGAATGTGTTTCCTTTGTTAAATTTTCCATCAGCAAGGAAATCCAGGAATGTTCCGCCTTTGTTTTGTTTACATGTGAGAACCTGTGCATAATGTTTTGTGACAACGGATCACACTCACCAAACAATCTCTCCTCTTGGATAGACGGTTGAGGCAGAGGGTCTGGAAGCAACCGTCGAGTGTTGCTGAACATTCCTGAGGGGTTTTCAATTGCAGTTGACAACAACTCCACCAGTCTAACATACACGGGTGACATATCCAATGCTATCATCTCCCTGTGTGCAGTCAATATCAAGAAGGATTCTGTGACAACTTTGGATATGACATCTAATGCATGACAGATGCTTAAAAATTGTTTGTTGTTCAGTGCATTTATGAGAAAATGTTTTCAATGTACATTTTGACGATTCTAGGTAATGTAGATTGGCGGGAGCCTAGAAATATGTATCTCCAGCATTGTGTTACAACAAATCGAAACGGTTTCCTCGAAAGTTCATGATAGGGATCGGAATGTTGCGACTTTTCATGAATTATGTTGATTGGAGTGGATCCCTTGAACCATCCTTTCAAAAAAAAAATTGAAGCAACTTTTAAAATACAAAGGACAATGGATTCATAGTTGTTGCAGAAACCCATAAAATTAGGAATGTGGAATTCAGACTCCATTGACCTAATTACTTTTCCACACACATTTTGAAATTGAAGAACGGGATGCACTGTACATTTGAACGATTGGATTTGCTTGCTGTTATGTTCGGATATTATGTCGTTTACTTTTGATTCGGTGGCACTTCTGTCCGTCAGGAAGGTAGTCGCTTGACTTAAAATGTTGGGCATACCCATTGTTTTTAACATTGCTGAAGTCAAATTTAAGAAAATATGAATTATCCATCATCATCATCATCATCATCATCATCATCATCATCATTATCTAACACCTAGAGCTTCTCTTCAGTGAGGTTAAAAAATAATAGCAGTAAAACTATGTACACATTTAACTACGCATTCTTAAAGTTTAATAAGAAATTTTAAAATGCTAAAAAGTCAGTTACAAGAAAATGCCTTAAAAAAGTTAAAGGAATATGGATTATTAAAATAAGAAATAATGTTCTCCCTTTCGAAAATAAACATGGATGACATTTATTTAAAATTTGTTCGATATAAAGACGTTTGATAACCATACATCAAGTTTTTTAAAAAACGACTATAGGACAGGGGAGGTAATTCGTACACAAAGTTACGTTGTGGCAGAGGGAAAAAATCGTGCATCGAAATGCACGATAAATTATGAACAACTTGTAAATTAACTACATGGTCGCCTTGGGGCAACGCCCTCACTCCTGGGATGAAAGTTACGTTATGTTTCATACATACGGGTTAACCACACATAATACCATGGGATGAGTTCCCAAACGAACTGAGTAACTGTCATTCAAGTATTACCAAACATTTTGTTAAACAAACCAAGGTATGAAATACAGCCTAACCGGTGAAAGTGTCATGGCGTTTTCTAACATTGCGGAGGTATAAGAGTTATCTACCTTGGAGCGACTCCTACTGACAATTGACGTGCCTAACTCACGTTTCGCCGGTGGACGTTCTCTCCCCGATAAGGTCCAATTCCATTCTTACACACCAATATTTGCCAATGTCTCACATCAATCCAGCATTCACATGTCCATGTGCACTATTTTGGTAGCTTTCCCTTCAAAGACTGCATAATTATTAGAGAAAAAACACATATTGGTCGAGAGCTCGTGTATGTACGTGCAGCCATTACCGTTGTCACGTGACCATCTGACCATATACTTATACGTTACCCGAATTAAGTATTTATTGAATAATTTGGACATTAATAGCAAAAAATGTTACATTGTACTAATTTTTATAACATTTTGAATACTTCATCAATACATAGCTTGATTTTCCGTATTAATAATAAGCTCCTTGGGTGGTGCATCCATTTTGGTTTATAAACCACGTTCTTAAGAGGGATAAGTAAACCGGGAGATGGCTTTGTAAGTTGTCAAACATTTGCCCAATCCTTTTGAATTAAAAAATAAAATAAAAAAATGATGATCATTTAATTTAGGGACAGCTGTTGTTTGTTTCAATGTCATGTTCACTATGTGTACGACTACACGCTACATATATGCACACTATTCAATAGCTGGCGTTGATACTGGTTGTCTATCTTACACCTGACACGTCTAATACCAACACCTACACATCAAAAACATTTCATATTCATCGTACATCGTATGAATTTTCATGCCCCTGTGTCATGTCCTGCATATATATGGCCATTATGTATATACGACCAGTGACTAATTGACCGATTCGTCATGGGAATATTTGGGATATGTCATCTACCATTATGTAGGTGTTGTATTAAGTGGGAAAGATCAGTTTCTTCTTCCTTTGTCACTTACGGCGTATATTGGGCGTATATATAGTAGAATAACCAATAATATTGTCAGTTTATAAAAGCACCTATTAAGAATTTAGAAACTGCAGAAAGCAATGCTGTTGTTTATATATTTATTTACAGTTTTGATACAAAAAGCATGTACAAAGTTAACAGTTGCCCAATGAAACGTTTCTATAGCGCATGACGACCCTATACCAAGCGTGACTATGAAGTACTCACATTTGGCAAACAATGCAAAAGAAAGAAATGTTTGACTGATAATGACATCAATGTGGAATAATTGCGATCGATAAGACATGACCGAGTACCGCAGACAAATAACACATATCTATCTACCCGTCGCTTAATGCAGGGACAATTTATTTGCTGTAAAAAATTGCGAATTCAAATAATTCTTTCAAGATGACAAAACCCTTAAAATACACCATGTATGGTTCATGTATAAGCTAATACATATACGAAAAGAATATTATCACTGCAATAGTGAAAAAATATAAGTCACATAAATATATGTGCTATCTAACGCCAGTTGTCTCTTCTTCGTCTTCTATCATATTGCATAACGGGCAAATTGTTTTCTATGTCATCATTTCTTGCTTGGTTATTTGCATATAAACATTCCATGATTTCTTGTTTCCAATTCTTAGAATAACGCCGACTAGTATAAACTGCCTTTCGCAATTTTTTATTTCCAAGTGAGGCTGATTCAACTTCCTGTGATAGTTCCGAAATTGTATTGGATTGCTCTTCAGCATTCTGTGACAATTTGTCTATTTTCATTGACTGTTTACCTAACGTCTCTGACTGTTTATCAAGTTTCTTCAACTGTTTGTTTATTGTCAATGACTGTTTAACAACTTTCTGTGATAGTTCACCGATTTTTATCGACTGTTCAGCTAACGTCCGTGACTGTTTGTCAAATTTCTGTGTCTGGTTATCAACTTTGTGTGACAGTTCACCGATTTTCATCGACTGTTCAGCTAACGTCCGTGACTGTTTGTCAAGTTTCTGTGTCTGGTCATCAACTTTGTGTGACAGTTCACCGATTTTCATCGACTGTTCAGCTAACGTCCGTGACTGTTTGTCAAGTTTCTGTGTCTGGTCATCAACTTTGTGTGACAGTTCACCGATTTTCATCGACTGTTCAGCTAACGTCCGTGACTGTTTGTCAAGTTTCTGTGTCTGGTCATCAACTTTGTGTGACAGTTCACCGATTTTCATCGACTGTTCAGCTAACGTCCGTGACTGTTTGTCAAGTTTCTGTGTCTGGTCATCAACTTTGTGTGACAGTTCACCGATTTTCATCGACTGTTCAGCTAACGTCCGTGACTGTTTGTCAAGTTTCTGTGTCTGGTCATCAACTTTGTGTGACAGTTCACCGATTTTCATCGACTGTTCAGCTAACGTCCGTGACTGTTTGTCAAGTTTCTGTGTCTGGTCATCAACTTTGTGTGACAGTTCACCGATTTTTATCGTCTGTACAGCTGACGTCCGTGACTGTTCGTCAAGTTGCTGTGATAGTTTACCGATTGTCAGTGACTGTTTGTCAAGTATTAGCATCACCTTGTTCAAAGTATTAATGATTGTCTGTTCTGTACCTTTGACGTCTGTTTTTAACTGTGTCGTAGCGGCAGTAGTCTCTTGGCGATGAGTGTCTACGACTTCTTTCATAGCCATTTTGACACAATGTTCAGTGTTTTCGTCCGATATCTGATGTAATACCACAGTTTGTTGTTTTATTTGGGCTGCATTCAAATCTGATTTGTTTTCACCTACTGACATTGATTCCTGTACCTGTGAAACGCACTCTTGACCTGAGGAATGGACAATTTCCTGTGTTTCTGATCCCTTTTTGTCTATAGCCTTTTTGAGAGTATCAGTCTGTTCTCGATGTTCATAAGTCCTGCGATCATCTGATTCTGAAATTACATCTCGAACTTCTTCATCTGAAATTGAAATGAATTCGTAATTGAATGTTAAAGAACCAAACGTCAAATTAACTTACTCTTGAAAATGCTTTGATAACGTCAATTTTTTTTTAATTATCACGAGAAGTTTTAGACATTGTAATGAATAGTGAATTTCAATGGTTTTCTAAACATATCAGGGAAATTATAATCCACTGTCACACAGGCAGAATATATCTAATTTTATCCTAACAGCATAAAAATGTCATTAAAGTGTAAATAAGAGTTACCGTGAAAGCTAAAAATGTATCAAAGGGTTTCCAACCCTTACAAATCAACTGTATTTTGTATTATTGAAAACATGTAATTAACGGCACACAAAAAAACGGCTTAATATGCAATTCTAGAAAGTAACCAAATTCGATACCGAGAGATGGCATTGAAAATAATGACCTCTTTTGCGTATTGTTTTTCTTTTTGTTTTAAAATCCGCATCACAAAACAAAGATTTATACAACAACACAAACACGTTCGTGCAGGACGAACGGTAATGTTTTTGGGATGGCAGCATTTTCAAGAAATTTGACCTGGTTTACAATAATATGTTGTTATGTGGTTGGATTTTGTGTTTTTTAAGAAAAGCATCTTTATAGAATTCTGAAAATATATACTGTTCTACATTTACATTCTACAGCATTACAAGCAGAACGAAAAATTTCTTTCAAAATATAACGTTTCAATATCCTGTTCTTTAATATCGTCTACACTGCATAATTTAGATATTAAGGTATAACCGGGATTTAAATTAATTTGTGATGTATGCGGCAAACGATTAGCTTGTTATGGGTCAATAACACTTTTGATAAAGAGACTTCAAATGGTGTTTTCCTGGCAAATTCCAACTTACTTTCCCTATATATGATGGTATTGTGGGTTCCAATCATTGTTGTTTTATTATATTCTGCGTGTGAATGTGCCTGTATCTGTTGATTCACCTGCCTGATACCTGCAGCATAAAAGGTTTCATTATTACGTACATGTCTGTTAACAGATGGGGGTGATCGGGTGGCGCAGTGAATAACGCACTCGCCCTTCACCAAAGCGGCCGGGGTTCGATTCCCCGATCGGACGTGAAAACATCAAGACCCCATGCGCGATAACATCCGGGCAACAAGAGTGATTAATATAAGTTATATAACTTGTGTCATTATTATTGTAAAATAACTAAAGTGTATATATATGTTAACAGATTAACCGTGAAGTACATTTTTTAATTGTTGGAAAATTCAATTTAGCTTTGTCGTTGCTAAATTATGAATTCTGAAATAATGTAATGTCGTGACGTACTTTGTCTACAAATTTACGATACTTATTTGTATCTTAATCGATGTTCTGTCGTGTTTCGCTCGACTTTCATTTTAACACAAATAGGCGACAAGCAACAGCCGCTGAATTACATAAAACTTCGTTTTTGGTATCCTTTTAGTATTTCGCCGTAAAACAATGACATTTTAAAATTACAAAGTATCGTTGTTTTGCGGCATCATAGCGATAAATCAAAATGACACGAATAAGCAACCCTTCTTTAATGCTAGTCTGTGTATTAATAATAGAATCTGTTTGTTAAAATTCGAAATGTCAATAACATGTAAAATCAGAAATATATCTGAGTTCCAAAACTGTCGACCTTTTTATGTTGTCCCTATGACAGTATCAGTGAAAGCTAGCCCACTTACCTGATACTTCTGCTTCGTCAGGCAGTACTACTGCCATTCCCTGATTTACACCGGTGTGACATTTAAGCTTTCCCGTCTGTCGATACGCTGAGCCAGCTTGATAGATGTTCATAACATCAGACTGACGACTGTTTCCTTCTAGCGGGCCAGTGAAGGTGGCTTTGTTGCTGTTCATGACATCAGACTGATTGTTTCCTTCAGACGGGTCAGTTGAGGGGGCTTGATTGCTGTTCATGACATCAGACTGATTGTTTCCTTCAGACGGGTCAGTTGTGGGGGCTTGATTGCTGTTCATGACATCAGACTGATTGTTTCCTTCAGACGGGTCAGTTGAGGGGGCTTGATTGCTGTTCATGACATCAGACTGACTGTTTCCTTCAGACGGGTCAGTTGAGGGGGCTTGATTGCTGTTCATGACATCAGACTGATTGTTTCCTTCAGACGGGTCAGTTGAGGGGGCTTGATTGCTGTTCATGACATCAGACTGACTGTTTCCTTCAGACGGGTCAGTTGAGGGGGCTTGATTGCTGTTCATGACATCAGACTGATTGTTTCCTTCAGACGGGTCAGTTGAGGGGGCTTGATTGCTGTTCATGACATCAGACTGACTGTTTCCTTCAGACGGGTCAGTTGAGGGGGCTTGATTGCTGTTCATGACATCAGACTGATTGTTTCCTTCAGACGGGTCAGTTGAGGGGGCTTGATTGCTGTTCATGACATCAGACTGACTGTTTCCTTCAGACGGGTCAGTTGAGGGGGCTTGATTGCTGTTCATGACATCAGACTGATTGTTTCCTTCAGACGGGTCAGTTGAGGGGGCTTGATTGCTGTTCATGACATCAGACTGACTGTTTCCTTCAGACGGGTCAGTTGAGGGGGCTTGATTGCTGTTCATGACATCAGACTGATTGTTTCCTTCAGACGGGTCAGTTGAGGGGGCTTGATTGCTGTTCATGACATCAGACTGACTGTTTCCTTCAGACGGGTCAGTTGAGGGGGCTTGATTGCTGTTCATGACATCAGACTGATTGTTTCCTTCAGACGGGTCAGTTGAGGGGGCTTGATTGCTGTTCATGACATCAGACTGACTGTTTCCTTCAGACGGGTCAGTTGAGGGGGCTTGATTGCTGTTCATGACATCAGACTGATTGTTTCCTTCAGACGGGTCAGTTGAGGGGGCTTGATTGCTGTTCATGACATCAGACTGACTGTTTCCTTCAGACGGGTCAGTTGAGGGGGCTTGATTGCTGTTCATGACATCAGACTGATTGTTTCCTTCAGACGGGTCAGTTGAGGGGGCTTGATTGCTGTTCATGACATCAGACTGACTGTTTCCTTCAGACGGGTCAGTTGAGGGGGCTTGATTGCTGTTCATGACATCAGACTGATTGTTTCCTTCAGACGGGTCAGTTGAGGGGGCTTGATTGCTGTTCATGACATCAGACTGACTGTTTCCTTCAGACGGGTCAGTTGAGGGGGCTTGATTGCTGTTCATGACATCAGACTGATTGTTTCCTTCAGACGGGTCAGTTGAGGGGGCTTGATTGCTGTTCATGACATCAGACTGACTGTTTCCTTCAGACGGGTCAGTTGAGGGGGCTTGATTGCTGTTCATGACATCAGACTGATTGTTTCCTTCAGACGGGTCAGTTGAGGGGGCTTGATTGCTGTTCATGACATCAGACTGACTGTTTCCTTCAGACGGGTCAGTTGAGGGGGCTTGATTGCTGTTCATGACATCAGACTGATTGTTTCCTTCAGACGGGTCAGTTGAGGGGGCTTGATTGCTGTTCATGACATCAGACTGACTGTTTCCTTCAGACGGGTCAGTTGAGGGGGCTTGATTGCTGTTCATGACATCAGACTGATTGTTTCCTTCAGACGGGTCAGTTGAGGGGGCTTGATTGCTGTTCATGACATCAGACTGACTGTTTCCTTCAGACGGGTCAGTTGAGGGGGCTTGATTGCTGTTCATGACATCAGACTGATTGTTTCCTTCAGACGGGTCAGTTGAGGGGGCTTGATTGCTGTTCATGACATCAGACTGACTGTTTCCTTCAGACGGGTCAGTTGAGGGGGCTTGATTGCTGTTCATGACATCAGACTGATTGTTTCCTTCAGACGGGTCAGTTGAGGGGGCTTGATTGCTGTTCATGACATCAGACTGACTGTTTCCTTCAGACGGGTCAGTTGAGGGGGCTTGATTGCTGTTCATGACATCAGACTGATTGTTTCCTTCAGACGGGTCAGTTGAGGGGGCTTGATTGCTGTTCATGACATCAGACTGACTGTTTCCTTCAGACGGGTCAGTTGAGGGGGCTTGATTGCTGTTCATGACATCAGACTGATTGTTTCCTTCAGACGGGTCAGTTGAGGGGGCTTGATTGCTGTTCATGACATCAGACTGACTGTTTCCTTCAGACGGGTCAGTTGAGGGGGCTTGATTGCTGTTCATGACATCAGACTGATTGTTTCCTTCAGACGGGTCAGTTGAGGGGGCTTGATTGCTGTTCATGACATCAGACTGACTGTTTCCTTCAGACGGGTCAGTTGAGGGGGCTTGATTGCTGTTCATGACATCAGACTGATTGTTTCCTTCAGACGGGTCAGTTGAGGGGGCTTGATTGCTGTTCATGACATCAGACTGACTGTTTCCTTCAGACGGGTCAGTTGAGGGGGCTTGATTGCTGTTCATGACATCAGACTGATTGTTTCCTTCAGACGGGTCAGTTGAGGGGGCTTGATTGCTGTTCATGACATCAGACTGACTGTTTCCTTCAGACGGGTCAGTTGAGGGGGCTTGATTGCTGTTCATGACATCAGACTGATTGTTTCCTTCAGACGGGTCAGTTGAGGGGGCTTGATTGCTGTTCATGACATCAGACTGACTGTTTCCTTCAGACGGGTCAGTTGAGGGGGCTTGATTGCTGTTCATGACATCAGACTGATTGTTTCCTTCAGACGGGTCAGTTGAGGGGGCTTGATTGCTGTTCATGACATCAGACTGACTGTTTCCTTCAGACGGGTCAGTTGAGGGGGCTTGATTGCTGTTCATGACATCAGACTGATTGTTTCCTTCAGACGGGTCAGTTGAGGGGGCTTGATTGCTGTTCATGACATCAGACTGACTGTTTCCTTCAGACGGGTCAGTTGAGGGGGCTTGATTGCTGTTCATGACATCAGACTGATTGTTTCCTTCAGACGGGTCAGTTGAGGGGGCTTGATTGCTGTTCATGACATCAGACTGACTGTTTCCTTCAGACGGGTCAGTTGAGGGGGCTTGATTGCTGTTCATGACATCAGACTGATTGTTTCCTTCAGACGGGTCAGTTGAGGGGGCTTGATTGCTGTTCATGACATCAGACTGACTGTTTCCTTCAGACGGGTCAGTTGAGGGGGCTTGATTGCTGTTCATGACATCAGACTGATTGTTTCCTTCAGACGGGTCAGTTGAGGGGGCTTGATTGCTGTTCATGACATCAGACTGACTGTTTCCTTCAGACGGGTCAGTTGAGGGGGCTTGATTGCTGTTCATGACATCAGACTGATTGTTTCCTTCAGACGGGTCAGTTGAGGGGGCTTGATTGCTGTTCATGACATCAGACTGACTGTTTCCTTCAGACGGGTCAGTTGAGGGGGCTTGATTGCTGTTCATGACATCAGACTGATTGTTTCCTTCAGACGGGTCAGTTGAGGGGGCTTGATTGCTGTTCATGACATCAGACTGACTGTTTCCTTCAGACGGGTCAGTTGAGGGGGCTTGATTGCTGTTCATGACATCAGACTGATTGTTTCCTTCAGACGGGTCAGTTGAGGGGGCTTGATTGCTGTTCATGACATCAGACTGACTGTTTCCTTCAGACGGGTCAGTTGAGGGGGCTTGATTGCTGTTCATGACATCAGACTGATTGTTTCCTTCAGACGGGTCAGTTGAGGGGGCTTGATTGCTGTTCATGACATCAGACTGACTGTTTCCTTCAGACGGGTCAGTTGAGGGGGCTTGATTGCTGTTCATGACATCAGACTGATTGTTTCCTTCAGACGGGTCAGTTGAGGGGGCTTGATTGCTGTTCATGACATCAGACTGACTGTTTCCTTCAGACGGGTCAGTTGAGGGGGCTTGATTGCTGTTCATGACATCAGACTGATTGTTTCCTTCAGACGGGTCAGTTGAGGGGGCTTGATTGCTGTTCATGACATCAGACTGACTGTTTCCTTCAGACGGGTCAGTTGAGGGGGCTTGATTGCTGTTCATGACATCAGACTGATTGTTTCCTTCAGACGGGTCAGTTGAGGGGGCTTGATTGCTGTTCATGACATCAGACTGACTGTTTCCTTCAGACGGGTCAGTTGAGGGGGCTTGATTGCTGTTCATGACATCAGACTGATTGTTTCCTTCAGACGGGTCAGTTGAGGGGGCTTGATTGCTGTTCATGACATCAGACTGACTGTTTCCTTCAGACGGGTCAGTTGAGGGGGCTTGATTGCTGTTCATGACATCAGACTGATTGTTTCCTTCAGACGGGTCAGTTGAGGGGGCTTGATTGCTGTTCATGACATCAGACTGACTGTTTCCTTCAGACGGGTCAGTTGAGGGGGCTTGATTGCTGTTCATGACATCAGACTGATTGTTTCCTTCAGACGGGTCAGTTGAGGGGGCTTGATTGCTGTTCATGACATCAGACTGACTGTTTCCTTCAGACGGGTCAGTTGAGGGGGCTTGATTGCTGTTCATGACATCAGACTGATTGTTTCCTTCAGACGGGTCAGTTGAGGGGGCTTGATTGCTGTTCATGACATCAGACTGACTGTTTCCTTCAGACGGGTCAGTTGAGGGGGCTTGATTGCTGTTCATGACATCAGACTGATTGTTTCCTTCAGACGGGTCAGTTGAGGGGGCTTGATTGCTGTTCATGACATCAGACTGACTGTTTCCTTCAGACGGGTCAGTTGAGGGGGCTTGATTGCTGTTCATGACATCAGACTGATTGTTTCCTTCAGACGGGTCAGTTGAGGGGGCTTGATTGCTGTTCATGACATCAGACTGACTGTTTCCTTCAGACGGGTCAGTTGAGGGGGCTTGATTGCTGTTCATGACATCAGACTGATTGTTTCCTTCAGACGGGTCAGTTGAGGGGGCTTGATTGCTGTTCATGACATCAGACTGACTGTTTCCTTCAGACGGGTCAGTTGAGGGGGC